AATGTCTGTAGACGTTTAAAAAATATCAAATGTATCATTCTGGGTAGAGTAACGTTGCTCGTGATGTGTTTTGCAGATTGGTCGCTATCAGCACACATTAATGTGAACAATTCCATCGCAGAACCAGATCCTTTCCTTACTTGTATGCTGTGCTACTCCACTGATATCCCTTTTGTTAATGCCCAGCTGGCAGCAAATAGAGATGAAATCCTCTGTGACAGCTCGTTAGTGATATATACACCCTCTGTATGGACATAAGTCTAGTCCAGCTCCCAAGGAACAAGTAACTACATCATTGTATCTGCTGTCAGTTGAAAGTCAGCAAATAATTGTTAATACAGCTGGTACCCTTGTGACAGCACGGGGACCGAGAGACTTTCCCATAGAAAACTTCCACTTGATAACCAAATGGTGCTTGCTTTGTAGAATTGTTTTCACCTGCTTTGAGGTGCCTCAAGTGAAGATACTTCCTCAGTGTATGCTGGGAAAGCAGCACAGCCTAAGTCTCTCTATGGAATATTTTCTTTGGAAACTAAACCTGAATTTTCCATTAGTTAATTTTGACATACTTTATTCCTGGTTTATCCTCTGATGCTGCATATGAAATTAAACCGTAGCTTTTTTTTTATTATTATTTTATAAACAACTATAACTTTTTAAATATCACCTCTGAATGTATTCCTCCAAATCCCTAGGGCCAAGCTTATACTGGAAAGTTTCCTGTATTTTTACCCTCAGAAATGGAAAAACTCACTTCCCACTATTTCATGTGCATGTCTCCAGACAACTGGAGGAGGAAACGGCCTGAGAAGTTCGGCTCTTGAGGCCTTTTAAGTTTGCAAAGTCAGTGCTAGAATTTGTGTTCCTGGCTACGCCGGTACAAAATCAAAGTAGTGTGATGGTCTTGAATAACTCTGGCTCCAGCTTATCATTAACTTCGAGGGATTTACTCCACACTTTAATCAGTCACTGAATACATAATCTGACCCAGGAAAAGGCACAAAGTGTAAATCAGTGCCTGATTTGGTCCTAAGCCAAAGCTGGTGGGAGAAATGCTTTCCGGAGATTTGATGAAAGGTGTTTCTTAGATAATGAACCCTCCCATACAAAGAAGTCTTATCAAATGTGGAATGAGTATGGTCGGTCAAACATTTGCTTTCAACTTGTGATCCTCTGTGAAATAAAGGGTCTGGACCCAGTGAGTTTTGGTCTCTTACTTGCAAGGTTATGGCACTGGGAGGATTCAAGTTTTGTGTCAACCCCGTGTTGTACAAGTGGAAAACAGGATGCTGGGAAATATTCCCTGGTTCAGTGGAACTCGTTGCGAAGGAGAGAGAAAATCACTCTTTTATTATAAGGTTTGCCAAATGATCGCTGAGAAAATGTGATATCATTCATATGCATTGCCAAGCTGGAGAGATGCCACGCATCTTGGCAGCCATCTAGAGCTAACGTATAATTCCTCTGGGTTGGTACCGGCTTTATCAGAAACAGTTCCATATGCAGTATTTACATAACTGTGGTGGAGTGTGAGAATAAACACAGCTGTGGCATTGCCCTGAATATTTCAATTCAGTGGGGAATTAAGGGAACTTTATCACTGAACTGCAGATAAACATAATACAGTAAGCGGTGTGGTCAGTTTAGCCAAGGAACAAATCCAAGCTACAATGGCAGAACTGCTGGAAACACTGAACTACTCCAGTGCTGGAGTTTTACTAAGGTCACTGGTAATTTTTTGCTTTTCAGAAGATATGGAAATGCCGTCAGTCAGCTGTTTGTTAAGCTAAAAGCGTTATCCAAACGGAGCGGTGAATCGAAGCAGCGTACGCTGAAAGGCAGAAAATGGAAGAGTTTATAGGGACATAGCGCTTTCAGCATCTGATTGCAGTAGGAGCCCATAGGTTTCCAGGACGTTTGCAGCGGAAGTTTCCATTAGGATCTCTGTCGCACCTGACTGCAAAGATGGTAGTCCTAGATCTTTAGCAGAAATCTGTAAATCCACGTTCTTAAAGATGGTCTAGTGCCCAGATCTTACAGAGGTCAGTAGTAAAGCTTAGGCAGTTAAGGACGTAGGCTTCGGTTCTTACTGCCTAAACGAAGAGGGAAACTTGCTTGGCAGCTTGCATAGGACTGAGGCTTGCAGGCGTATTTCTTAGGCTAGAGCAGCGCTGCGGCTAGCAGGGTTCAGTTTCAGTGCTGCCAGTGCAGCATTCATTCCTGTTTTGAATCCCTTTTAAAAAATGTAGCATATATTGCCCAATCTTCCTGTCATTCAGCTAAGGGAATGAGGTAGTCGTCTTGCGGTTGTTAGTGTATCACCATCAAACTTTGATGAGTAACAGGCAGGCCCCCAGATAACCCCATGAGGAGGCACTGAGAGATGACATTTTAAGAATATTTTTGCAAACAAGGCACTGTGTGTGTCGATGTGTGCGCATGTATAGTAGAGTGTATACACTAACATCACAGTAGAACACATATATGTTGAAATATGTTACATGATGTCAAACTGAAACAACACTCCATAGTTTTGAGTCAGTTAAAAAAAATATATTAATGTCTAAACTGTCTAAGGCTCGCTATTTTAGGGGACAGGACTACTGCAGGCATACTGAAGTAGCTATCAGTCACCAAGGGAAATACATACTGGTGAGGGCCCAACTAGCAAAATACTCTCGTATATGTTTATCCACCATTGTTTCACCAAATCCATGCTGGGCTTTAACCTTTTTGAAAAATGGCACAATACTGCCTGCTGTCTAAATATTTTTTCTCTTTAAAAGAAGTATTAAAATGGGAGGCAGAGTGCAGAGAATAGTGAGTGCTATTCTTGGCTTGTTCCCAGCCTCATCTGGATTATGCACAACCTTTTCACCTCTCTGGGTGTTTTTCCAGTCGTGAAATGGGGATGCTGTGACTGAACCCCCTTTGTAAAATGCTTTGAGATCTCGTGACAAAAATTGTTATTTATGTATTAAGTAACGCTTTACTCATTACCACAATGTATTTCAAATCTGTGTAGTTTATTTCCATTGGTTTTCTGGATACAAGATCAAGTTTGCATGGCATTGAGAGACCAGGATTTTCTGATCAAAAGAAGAACAAGGGTCTGGTAGGTATGTATGATGTCTATCATCATCAGTCACAAATAGCTAAATCATAACTAACTGCTCTGGAAACAGCTTTTACTCGCGGTTAAAGGAAAAGTAAAAATATGGTTAGGAAGGTGCATGTCTACAAACACAATTTTCTTAATCCCCAGATCTGCATAGTGTGACCAAGAATTGTTTCTTCAGTACCTAAAGTTGACTACTCGGTACCTACTGGAATAGCTAAATAGGGACTTATTTTCCGAAAGTGCTGAGTTCCAGCAGTGTTACTGAGGAAACGTGTTAGCTCAGCACTTTCTGAAAAATCAACCCACTTTTTAAACTATCTAAACAGTGATTTAGGACCCTGAACTGTTCAGTTGCTTAGTTTGGAAAATCATGACCTCTTGTATTTGTAGAGCAATGTCTACGTGTAGACATCCCCTTCCCAAAATGGACAAACAAAAGACCAGCAGTCCTAATTCTGTTAGCCCTAGCGAACTGCACAGATTGAACTGGATTCTCTTCTGGATTCTGCTTGTTTTAATCAATTAATTAAAAACTGTTTATTGTTAATTAAGCTCCAGCTTGCAGGATTTTGTGATTATATAACAAATATTTGTGTTACAGTATTGTCTTGCACCTCAACCCAAACAAATTCCACTGTACCAATTACTTTTCTGATACAGAAAAGAGTCATTGTGTGTCCCAGGGATCATGCAGTAATACACAAGTACATGGTTGGCCTCAAATCTCAGATTGAATTTGTGTGGACAGTGCTGAGGGGAAGTCACTGTACATGTATAATGAAAAGCACTAATGTGATATGGAGTTGAGTGATAGGCAATGACCAGGGCTTGGTTTTGCAATCACTACACGAAGATAAACCAGCCTATTATTTAATTGGGCTATTTAGCAAATGTTCAAATGAAAGTGGCCCACGAAGCTGTAGGAGAGCACACAGAGCCCCACTAACTAATGGTTCCCTAAGAACAGAGCTGAAATAACTGCAACTATCTCTAAAAGGGTGTTTTGTTGTTGTTGTTAGCAAAGGTGTTGGCACAATTCCCATAACCACTACATACAGGATTATTTTTCCTGAAAACTGTGTTCAGCTGTGCTTTTGAATCACAGTGGTGGGGTGAAAGCCCACAGGATGGTCTATTAAGCATTTGGAGGAAAAACATCTATCTCTGCATGGATTAAGAAAACCATAAAAGATGCCCGCCAGCAACAATCATATGGCTGCAGTTAGCGCATTCTTGCTGCCACTGTTAACAGGATCTAAATGGAGCATTCAGGATATTTGTAACTCCTGGAGAAGGCCCATTAAGTTGGGTTACTGGTTCATGTTTAGTGTTGTCAATGAACCCACAGTGGAATCCCTGGAAAACTTCTCTATTTACGATTAGGGCTTTTCATTTAGGCCTGTGTATATAAAATAAGCACATTGAGAAACTGGCGATGCCTTGGTATACAGCTGAAGGAGGTAGCTGCTTATCCCCAGCTTGTCCACGCTCACTGTTCTTTGGTGGTTCTCCTGTCAGGTCAAAGCTTGAGGAACTGCTGAGGAGGAAGAGATAGCCGCTGGGAAAAACAGCGGTGTGTCTTTCAAAGTAGTATTACTTTCTATTTGGAATTCCTGTTGACATGCTAGATGTGGGGTTGGATCAGCAGTGGCAAATCCCCTTTTTAAGGATCAGTACTTTACAGTAACATGAGTACAAACATAACCAGTTGGATCTCACTATATTCAGCCACTGTAAAGGTAAGTTTTTGGTGGCAGGTCTTCATACTAGTATCCTTCATTTTAACTCTAACAGTAAGCTTGGTAATAAATTTAGCCGCCTAACAGTATTTGAGTTTCTAGAGTGAACATAATGTTTTTCCCCCCCCCCATTTTTCTAGACTTATTGAAGTTCATTCACCTGATGCCAAGCACACCGTGGTTCTAAGGAGTAAGGATTCGGCTACAGCCCAGGCCTGGTTCAATGCCATCCACTCCAGTGTCAATGATCTCATCCCCAGGGTGATTGCAGAGGTCAGAGACCAGCTGGGTAAGACAGGGATTGCTGGAAGTCGAGAGATTAGGCATCTAGGCTGGCTTGCAGAAAAGGTAACTAAAACATTCTTGTTTTCATTTCTAAACTCTGTGTCTGTCTCTCTGTTCCTGAATTCAGTCTTGACCGAAAGTGTAGAGGCTTAATGAGATTCTGGTTTTTGATTCAGCTTTCATGAAGACCTCTCTCGTAATATGCCGAGCATTACTTGCGCATTTTTTTTTTATAACTGGGAGGTCCCCTGAGTCTTTGCTTCTGTACATCAATTATCAAAGACTTTCCTGGGAGATCAAAACTCTCGTGATCTGTCAAGCGTGCACGTTTCCATGAGTCACAAAAACTGACTCTAACCTCCTGCTCCCCTGCTGTGATGTCTTGTTGCTCACACATACAAAATGGTCTGCCTTAGCCTCCCTCCTGCTCCTCTTGAGTAACCGTTTGCTTAATGTGCGGTCCAGCAGGCTGCTGTGTCCACCCGCAAGAGCTGGGCACGGGCTGGTGCGTGAGGCTGTTCTCCCCGCTGCGCTGGGGGAGCGTGCTGCTTAAATGCAACACTGCGTCAGGGGCATCCTCCTAGAAGGCAGATCCCCCAGCTGAGCACGTGGTTGCAGCTTTCCCCCTCATCTTGCACAGTCTGAGTTTCAAAATATTTTGACGCCACACTGGCCAGTGGAAAGCAGTTTGCAAACCAGTGACCTATGGAAAGTGGACCCAAGAATACACAGTATCAGTATGAGATGATTTGGTTGGAATCAGTGCTCCTAGAACTGGTTTTCAGGTCTGTGCCACCTGATATGCATAGATTGGCTCCTGTAACAGCACTGGTATTGTGCCTAGAAATACCACCCACCCAGATATTGCCTGGGTGGTTATTCAGACCACCTCTACCTCTTGAGCTGGGTGCCTACAAGTCCAGGATAAATGCCCGCTGTGTATACACTATCCTCTCAACCTGTGCATCCAGCAAAGATGCGTAAGGCAGACTACAGTTATCCTGCAAGGCATATTGTACCCTTTAGCTTTGTTTGGGATTTTGTCGCCACAGGCTCTCATATTTCCGTCTAGCATCCTTTAAAAGGATGCACTGTTGCTTGTCAGTAAGATGTGGGTCAGGTGCACCTTCCTTCTAGTGAGGTGAAGGTTGCAAAACTTTTCAGATATATTTTATAAATTTTCCAGCCCCTCCATCCAAGCTTACGGAGTGGGAAAAACAGCAGAAACCTGTGGCATAGTCCTGTAGAGAGTGCGAAATTGAGGGGAACAATCTCAGCTATTGCTTAAAACGCCAAAACCTGAGTACGTTTTAGCGGTGTTATACTGGACAGCAAGAGGGTCCTTAGTCTTGCTTTCCTTTTTGTATGCATTTACATAAACTTTTGAAAAGCTGAATATAACTGGTATTTTCTCTTTCAAAATTCTCTCCTCTAAAAGGGTTAATATATTGTAGCAGGTCATATATATACCTAATGCTTCATAAATTAACATCATTTTAAGAGGACACATGGCATGCTTCTTTTTTGTGAATTTCCTTTTTTTTTTAATTTTTAAACAACACTTTGTAGCGGGGTGAAAACAGAGATATGTGAAATTGAGTCCAGTTCTTTAGCAGCACAGCCTCAAATAGGACAGCTAAATAAGAAATGGAAGCAAACACTATTCAAAAATGTGGGAAAGCTAGTGTGTTGTATAGTGCTGCTGGCACAGAATAGCCTTTTTTTCTTTGATGGGCAAATGTTTTCTGTAGTTAATGCTGAATTGATTCTTTTGGGTGAAAATTTTTGTAGAAATATACCTTGTTTTAAAACTATGATGGTTTGCTATTTTCATAGTATTGAAAGTAGTATTTCTTCATCCGGAGAGGGATGTACCCTTAACCCACCCTCTTCAGGGCAGTTGCTACTTAATGTGCAGTTCACACACTTCTTCCCCCCCTTCTTTTTGCCTTATGGGCTGAGATCTTACTTCCTGCTGTTCATTATGGACCAGCTCACATTCTTGTTGAATTTAGTGGTAAAACTTGTGTTGCCTTTAATAGGGCCAAGCTGTGGTTCTGTGCATGTTCTAGTGTATTTAAAAAGTCTGTCATCAAGAATTAGCCTTGAGAGATTTGCAGTGACATTGTAACTGAAAAGTCAACATGTTTTCCTCACTAAACTAACCATCCAGAGCTCTGCAATAGTAGTGGAGTGAGGTCAAAAGTTCCCAGCTTCTTATTTTGGAGACCTGGTTAAAAGTGAAGAACATCACTACATATGGTAAAAACCTACGTTACATTGTTTTATTTTATTCCTGGAAAGTGGGCTGTAAATCCTACCTGTGAGAAAGCTAACTTGCATGGTAAGAGAGGGAGGTGCAAGACTAGGTGCTGGCCACAGTGTGTTTCCTAGATGCTCCCCTTAACACAGCTCCTCCTGCAAAACCTGCAATGGGGAGAAATTAAATTCTATGGTGATTTTTGGAAGTACACCAGAAATACCAGTTTTCTTCTCCAGGAGTGAATTTTCTTACCACATCCACTGCTGGTTGATTTCTAATTTCTAGAGCTTAGAAAGTAAATCCATGGGGGAATGGACCTCGTTATTAACAGCAATAAAATAAAGCATCTGGCTTCTACTCCTCCTAATATTATTAATAATGTTTTCTCTATGGCTTTTTGTGGCATATCTTGTCATTTTTCCATGGACTGCAGTGGGAAGAAATCTAAACTCCGTTTTGAAAAGCCTCTTTGACTGTAACTTTTAAGACAGCTTTTATTGCATCACGTTGTGTTACTTATGTAGCTTAACCTTATGGTGAATTCTCAGCAAAATGGAATGACATTAACTGTGATGAATCCTTTTGGTTGTTTGGGAATGCAAAATGTAATCCCATAGAAATTTCACTGTAATTTGCTGTGATTACTCCCTGCTTTCATTAAAGTATTTCCTGGTTTGAGATTTTTTTATATGTCTCTGCTCTAAACTTAGCTCTCAGCTTCAACCTTTATATTTCTATAAAAAAAGGTTCATTAGCTGAGTCTCTCTCAGGTGGGTAACGTTAAAATAAATAGTAGGTTATCTAAGGTAGTATGTAATTGTGCGCTGGCAGGATTCTTCCACGTACGGAATTCTTCCCTTAAATAGCGGTGCTGAGCATGAAGCCTCCTCCGCTGGGCAGGTCCACCTTGGGAGGCCCCTCGCTTTGGCCATGGTGTGCACAAATGGGTCATCCTTTGGCAGGTCAAGCACCGCAGCCACGAGCTGTGCTTGGCTTTAAGAAAGCAGAACTACTCGCAGGGGAATCATTATAGGTAAGGAGGAAAACAGCCGGAAGCAGTCATTAGAGATGCCGAACTCCCTGTTTTATTAAGACACTAACCTTGCCCAGACCTTGACCCCTGTGGGGAGAGTTTCTGAAGCTGGCCAAGGAGTAGGGAGTTGCGTTAGTCACCAGTGTCCTAACGCTTTTCACTTACTAACACAAATGTTAAGTGCCAGTTTGTAAGGAAGTGTGTGTGCTCCCCATAACCTTATCTTTCTTTCTAATACTCCTCTTTTCACTTCAGCAAGACTGGTAGGATTAACAAGTGTGCGAAGCAGGAGGGAACAGCTCCATGTGGGTTTTAATTTTTCCAGAACTTTCGTTTTTTTTAATGCTCCCTGTAAAGACACTTCCAGTGACCTAATACAAAAAGGAAGTTAATAATGTAATCCTAATTGAGGAACTCTTCCATGTACACGTTAACTGTCCTTCTCTCTAGAAATCCTTTCAATCCTTTCAGAAATTAGTTTTCCACCTCCCTTTTCTCCCCTCTGCTATAGCTCTGCCCAGGCAGTGGATTATAGGGGAGCTGAAATAGGCATTTCTGCTTTTCTCGTCACACTTACCCACGTGCTGCCGAGTTTTTTCACAAGGAGAAAATTTTGTTCTTGCACTAGCAGGCTAAAACGTTTAGAAAATGGTAGTTTATTTTTATCACTTTGTATGTCTGTTCCACCTGAGCAAGGCATTATTGCAAAAAGCCTTATCTGTATTTTTACTTCCTTCAGGCAAACACAAAAAGGTGTTCTGGCAAAAGTCTTTCTGCAGAGGTAGCTTTTTTCCTGCTCAGCGGAGTGATTGGCCATAGAAGCAAAAGCATTACTTGTTCAAGGAGTAGCTGAATCTGTAGTGAGGCATCAATGCTGTAGCTAGGTCATTTAAAAAAAAAAAGGAAAAAAACCTCCTAGCTCTGTGGCTCTAACTGTGCTCCCTGTGCCAGTGAAACTGTAAAGGTAGACTTGGCTACATGAAGAAGCTCTTCTGCAGCCAGAGAACGTTCTGCTTTCTGAATGTCAAATGTCTTAACAGACAGTGGGTTTGTTAGAAATGGTCTCAAGGCTCCCTTGAGAAACTTAAAAATAGGAGTGGCTGCAAGCTGTCTTTTATAATGTTAATACTTGGAACTGCAGAAAAATTTTTCTCTTGACTTTTCTCACTAGATCTTAGCTCCAGCATTTTGCCCGTGTTCACACAGCTCTGCATGCTCGGGGCAGATGCATTATTTCTCTCAGAAATCTGGTGTGTAGGTCAGAATGGAGAAAATACCTGATATTGGGAGAGAAATAACTGAACTGGCATGGTGAATCGGGTGTTTTTTTCAGCTTGTGACACTATCTCTGAAATGAAAAGTGTGTTAACATATTATAGGCTGTTCAGTCTCCTCCACCCTTAGATAACATATCATTGTATTAGAACTGAAGTGTGCGACATGTCATAGCAGAACAATCTCCTTCCATATCGAGCTCTGTATTGCAGTATTATATTTATCTTACTGCTCTCTCTCTCTCTCTAATTCTGAAGAGTGAGCAATAACCGTAAGATTGTGAGACGTGCAAGCTGTGCAAACAAGATTTAGTCAAATGACATGAAAGTTTAGCTCAGTCTTTTTTTTCCCAATATAAAATGAAGACTTTTTCTTTACCATTTCCTTTGCAAGAAAGTTCATTGGTTTGCAAAACAAGTAGACAGCAGCAGAGCTGCATTGTTATTCTGATGACAGATACCACGTTCGGGTTTTCAAAGACGAGAAGAGAGC